TTTATGCAGAGATTACAAACCTTTTGTACTATTTTTTGTTTTATAAAAAACTCATTTATATAAGTAGGTACAGCTAATTCACCATGGAAAACCTTGGTTTTTATTAAATTAAATTTCACCTAATAACAACACTTGTAAATATCAAACAATCAAAAACCTTATTTTGGAAAACAATAGGTTTATGATTCATTGATATTTACAAATGTTAAATATTATTTAATGTTATACAAATGTAAAAGTAAGGTCGATTTGAAAACGTCTAATTAGTAAGAATAACAAGTGTTTTTAAAAGGAAAAATATGCCGGCGCTATACGGCGGCGGATTAAGTTTTGGACAAAAGATAGGTATTACCTATCCAAATATAATTTAAGACTGATAACAAATGTGCTATCTTATTATTTACTTTTTACCTCAGCCAAGTTTTTGGCTACCAAGACTGCTTTTATTGAGCATAATCATTTGACATTTAATTTGGAATCAGTTCCAACTAATTTAAATTAGTGAATGTGACAATAGAGGCAATCTCTAGCAATAATAAGAGTTTAATTAATTTTGAATACAGCCCACAAATAAGTAATAAAAATTGTTTACACCTGGTGCATCAAAATATACAAGGCATGTTGGGCAAAGAATTGGAAGTTGAATTGTTTTTAAATAGTAACAATATACACATCCTTTGTATTACTGAACATTGGCTAAAAGATTATAATTTCATGTTTAATTTCAGAAATCACCAGGTGGTCAGTTCCTTCAATAGAGAAAAAAGTTTACGTGGTGGCTTCTTAATATTAGCAGATAAATCATTATTATATAAAGAACGTAAGGATATTGTGAGCCTCTCTGTTGAACGAACTGTAGAAATGGCTTGTGTCGAGCTTGAGCACCTCATTGTTGTAAGTGTTTACAGACCCCCATGTGCTACTTATGACCATTTTGAAAGGATTGTGGAAGAAGTTTTACTCAAACTTAGTAAACAGAACAAGTCTGTTGTAATGTGTGGAGACTTTAACATCAATCTCCTTGAAACTTCTTCCATTAGTATTAAGTTTCACTCATTGTTTAAATCGTATAATCTTGTAAATTTATTCTTAGAACCAACACGTATTGCTGGGCCTAGTGCGACCTGTAAAGATAACATTTTTACAGATGTTAAGCCCTTGCATAAATCAATTATTCAAAATTTAAGTTCAGATCACTGTGGACAGTTAGTATCACTACCTTACATACACAAAAAACAGAAAAATAAGAAAGTTGTGTTTGTTCCAATAAATGAACATCGCTTGGAGAGGTTTAGAAGTAATATAATAAAAAGACTTCCATCACTTTCGTTTAAAAATAGTGCTAATTATTTGTATGCTACATTATTTGAAATTATACGTTGTGAATTTAGTAGAATATTTACTTCTAAAACGTTTAACAGTTGCAAATCATTTAATGAATGGGCGACAGTAGGAATTTATAAAAGTAGGCGAAGGTTATACGAGCTTTATGATGAAAGATCATATAATAGTAGTGTTATATTTAGAGATTATGTAAAAACATATTCTAAAATATTTAAAAAAGTATGCTCCACTGCTAAGGCTTTACATTTAAGCAACAAAATTAAAACTGCATCCGACAAAATTAAAATGACCTGGAGAATAATAAATAGTGAAACGGGCAAGGTCAAACCGCGCAACTCGGATTTTCAATTGAATATTAACAATAATTTAACGCGATCTGATCAAGAAATTGCTATGGCTTTTGAGAAACATTTTACTGATGTTCCTTTTTTGACAACAAAATCATTAAATTCTTCTCCTACTGTCGCCGAATCATTGCTCAAACAAAATGTAAAGGCTTGTTCAAATACTTTTAAATTCCATAGGGTACTGCCAAAAGATATCGTTAAATATTTTAAAACTAATGATGTTAAGAAAACGGCAGACTTATGGGGGATTTCCGTTAAAGTTATTTAATCTATAATAGATACATTAGCACCTTATCTAGCCACTATATTTAATATAAGCGTCGAATCTGGTGTGTTTCCTGATTTAATGAAACATAGTAAAGTCATACCTATATTTAAATCTGGTAGTACATTAGACCCCGCCAATTTTAGACCAATTTCTGTACTACCAACATTAAGTAAAATTTTTGAAAAAATTATTTTAGATCAGATGTTAAGTTTCTTCAATATTAATAAATTGCTACATAAAAATCAATTCGGTTTTACAAGGGGTCGCTCGACAACTGACGCTGGAGTTGAGCTTATTAAACATATTTTTTGTGCATGGGAGAATTCAGAGGATGCTTTGGGTATATTTTGTGACCTTTCCAAGGCCTTCGACTGTGTTCACCATGAGATATTAATCAGGAAGCTACAGTACTATGGTGTCAAGAACACAGCGCTTAAACTTATTATTTCATATTTAAGTAATAGAAAACAGAAGGTTATTTATTATCAATGGTAAAAGTTCTTCCGGGTCACCTGTACTAATGGGTGTTCCTCAGGGCTCGATTCTCGGCCCATTCCTGTTTCTGGTGTATATTAATGACTTACCTCACCTTGTACGGGATAGTCATGATATAGTATTATTTGCTGATGATACTTCCTTGATTTTTAAACTTAAACGTCAATCATTTAAATGTGACGAAGTGAATAATGCTATATCAAAATTAGTGCATTGGTTTAACGTTAATAATCTGCATTTGAACGGAAATAAAACTAATTGTGTTAAATTTACAACAACGAATGTTCAAAATCTGAATACCAATGTGTTTTTAAATGGGGGAATTGAGCCCTGTTGTATCCACTGTTTTTCTTGGCATCACTCTTGACGCAAAGCTCCAGTGGGGCCCCCATATATCCAAATTAGCAAGCAGACTAAGTTCTGCAGCCTATGCTGTAAAAAAGATTAGAGGTCTCACTAGTGTCGAGACATCTAGATTAGTTTATTTTAGTTATTTTCATAGCATAATGTCTTATGGGATTTTGCTATGGGGAAATGTGGCTGATTCAGAAACTATTTTTGTTTTACAGAAGAGGGCCATTAGAGCTATTTACAATCTAAAACCGAGAAAGTCTCTTAGAGATAAATTTAAAGAAATTAATATATTAACTTTGGCCTCTCAGTATATTTACGAAAATTTAATGTATGTTCACAAAAACAAAGATAGTTTTAGTAAAAGAAGTGATATACATTCTGTAAACACTAGGAACAAACACAAGCTAGTGATACCAGTTTCTCGACTCCACAGAGTCAGTAATTCATTCTTGGGGCAATGTATACGCTATTACAACAAGGTCCCGGAAAGTGTACAGGTTCTCTCTATTACCAAGTTTACATGTTTTATTAAGCTGAAACTGTATAAAAAGGGTTATTATAGTATAAATGAATACATGGTTGATAATAACCCCTGGGAATGAGGTGATCGCTTCCAAGCAGTTTCTAAAATAAATTTTGTAAATAGTTCGTAATCATTTATATTGTAAAATTTATTTAAAAAAAAAAAGCCGCTGGGTTTCTTGCTGGTTCTTCCCAGGACAGAGGGTTTTTTCGAACCAGTGGTAAAGTAAAAAATGACTTTCAATAAGAATTACACATGTAATGTATATTGAATAAAAAATATTCTATTCTATTCTATTCTATTGACAAAAGACTATTTATTAGCAAACTTTTTTATGCAGGAACGGTTTCGAACTGTTTCAAGCAAAAATAAACCTTATAACATATCACAAGAGCACATGGTACTTCGTAGGTCTATTCGGCCATATGACAGTAATAAGACGGCAGTTCAACCATTTTAAGTAAAACTAAACAAGAAGACAAACGCATTGTTTTTTTTTAACAGGAGACTTGTTTTCCACAAATTTATTTACAACTTGAGTTTGTGAGCGATCGCGAGTGCTATTATTTGTTACTTATTAGACTATTTTTCCACAACATGATTTAAAACCCACAAAGTAAAAAGAGTACTATGTACAAGTTAAAAAAAGGTTGTCAACCCCTAAAAATTTAAAATTTTGAAAATATCCAAAAACGAAGCTGTAGGCATGAATTACTTGCAAAATAATGAATATTTTGTTCTGGATAAATCTTCCAAAAAAGCAGTTTGAGCGAGTTACGATTTTTAAAAAGACACGACTCGCGCGTTTTTTTTTTATATAGGATAAGGGTGACAAACGAGCACACAGTCCACCTGATGGTAAGTGGTTGCTGCGGCCCATAGACATCTACATCTATCCTCTGTTACAAATCAAAATGTAGATGCGTTGTCACCCGTGAGGACTAAGATGGAATGCCTCATTTCCAGTAAAAAGGGCCTCCGGCCACCTGCACTCACCAAGCGAAACGCAGAGGTAAACCTCTACTTCACGCTGGTTTTCTGTGAGGTCGTGGTACTACCCCGGTTCGAGCCGGCCCATCCGTGCGATAGCAAAAGCTGCCGCGTGGCTCTACCACAGTTATAGTCATATTTTTGTGTGTGTCATACGCCACACAAAAATAAACGATGGCACGCCTGGCGTGCCATCCGCACTGAACCGGTTCAATAGACTGATCGTATGTGTGGCTGGCTATGTATGTAAAACGCCTTGATGATACTGGCGCCAAAATCTTTTAACTTTAAAAAAAAAGTTGGTCTTCACGGGACGCCCGGTAGATGTGAAAAATTATAGTTGATGGTAGAATTTATAATTAATTAATATGGAGTAAAATTAATTGATAAATATACTATATTCGAATAGAAAGGCACACGCAGTACAAAACACGCAGAGAAGCAACTAAGTGTATAGTATATATGCAGAGCTATTACGTAGATGGAAGATGACGGCTAACAGAACGTCATGTCGTTTGCCGTCACGGCATACAAGTCGGTTTTACTGCCAAGGCGCGCCAAGTAGTCGTTCCACATTAAAACTTATAACTAAAGACGTCCTTGTAACATAGTAGATTTCTTATATTTCCATGTCCTCGTAAAGTTTCAGGCAAAGCCTGCTTGAAATGAAACACACTATAAAATTATATTAAATTTATTATAAATCTCGATGACGTTCAATTCGAAGCCGAGCGCGTTTAAGCGGCAACACCGTTCTGTACGCTGTCCTCGTCTGAAGCCAATAAAATAAACAATTGTTATGTCGAGCCATTTATCTCCTCTATACAACGTACCGCTTCAATGGTGACTTTAACACACAGGTTGGACTAGTGCCCATTAATCATAAATAATTTTGATAGGTCAAAATAACTCGTAAATTGAAAAGTTTTTTTTTGAAACAAAATAATAAAAAAGTAACTAAAATTAGCATCAGCCTTGTTGTATTTGCCATTACCATCACAAGTTTACACAAGCACTAATAACAAAAAAAATATAAATACAAATCTAGTAGGTACGTTTACATCTCATGCGATACGGACGTTTTTGTGTTTTTTTTTTTTTTATAGGATCGAGTGACAAACGAACGCATGCAGATGAGTTGTCACTCGTGAGGACTAAGATGGAATGCCTCGTTTCCAGCAAACAGGGTCTCCCCGGTTCTCTACACTCACCATACGAAACAACAGTCGTTAAGCTGCTATTTTACGCTGGTTTTCTGTGAGAGCGTGGTCCTTCCCCGGTCGAGCCGACCCATTCGTGCTACAACTATACTACTAATATAGCTGCAGCATGGCTCTGCTACATATAAAAATACTATATTATAATGTATAAATATCTCTTATGGAGACTTAGTACGATGTGTTCTGGTTTTTCTCTAGCAAAGACTAAAATATTACGCAAGGGCAATGAATAGTTCTGATAATGACTGTGTAGGAATATTTTTAGGTTTTTATCACCGTGTAGTGGCGGTGTAGAAATATCCATTATTCCATATCGTCCCATGGGTGTCTGTGAAAGGCGACAAAGTACTCGTACGAGGGAAACAAACCAGGAGATGGGAAGCAGCGGCCTCCTTATAACTAAAAATTTAAAAAGAAGTAGTTGCCAACCCCACTGTCAAGTGTGGTAACTGTGGAAAACTCCCTAGACCAAGCGACCTTCAGCAGTGGAATATAGACTGTAATTAAAATTGTTTACCTAAAATGATTTAGCAAAGACTAAAATGATGTAAGGACACTGAACATCTCTGATGGAGATTTAGTGACAAAATTCTAGTTTTCCACTAGCAAATTCTATATAATACAAGACGGTAAGCAACTTTTTTTATTTAATAAATACTAGTAATGTTATTAACATTACTAATTAGTAATTAGCTTAAAACACTTGTGGTTAGAAGTGGTTCATATAGTCGAATGGCCGATATGAACCAACAACCTTTTGAGATCGCGTTCCACACCCTGCCGTTAGGCTACCATCGCTTATAAATTTCTCTTTGATAGGGACTTATGATCAGATTTATATTTTTAGCAAAGGCTAAATGATCTTAGGACAGTCGACATGCATAATAGAGACTTAGTGTCAAAGTACTGAAATAGAGACCCTTATCGTCAGTGTCCATGGGCTCCGGAGTCTCCTGGTAAGCGGGTGCCAGGGGTGACACGACCACTCCGTCCCACACAGTGATCTCAGTGGAGATGTCTTTACCGCCTTCAAAAGGCTGAAGCCCGAGCACGTAACGGTGACCACCTCGGGCTACTACACGAAGTAATCTGTGGAAAATTAATGAGTGATATTTTTTTTATAGAATAAGGGTGACAAACGAGCACACACTACCTGATGGTAAGTGGATGCTGTGGCTACATCTTCCCTGGATTTAGAATCAAAATGCAGATGCGTAGTCACCCCTAATGACAAAGGGTGCGTACAGATTAAGTAACATGTTGTGTAACTTGTGTTTTATAACATATCCACATTATGTTACATTGTTTTTCAACATTGTAACATATAACAATACTGTACACATTAGAATAACAATACAATATAACATTATTTTTTTTATAGGATCGAGTGACAAATGAGCACACAGTCCACCTGATGGTAAGTGGTTGCTGTGGCCCATAGACATCTACATTTATCCTCAATAAAGATACAGTAGTAGTAGTAGTGTTATTCACAATAGCTTGTAATAATAAAAATATCATAAAAACAAATTCTTTTACCTCTGGAATACCTGCCTCTTTTGTAGAGCGAACCTTATTTTTATCCCTTAAAAAGTACACGTGTACACATAAGATATATAACGTTTGTGTAATGTTAAATAACACGTTTTATAACATTCAGCCTCCATATTACTGAAACATGTTATATAACAACGTTTTATTACATAATAAGTCTGGTGCTGTCTCTATCACTTTAAGTCAAAGTGACTGTGACACCGCGAGACTTGACAACATCTTAAAATTGAGTAGCGTTTGAGAATTTGGCCAATAGACATCTACATCTACCCTCGAATAAGAATCAAAATGAAGATCTACTTTAGTGGTACACCTGGGTAGTAGGACCCTTTTTGTATCTAGGAGTCTCATGGTGGGAGGGTGGGATGTACTCTTCAAAATAGCTAATACATTTTTAACATGTTTAATTTACTCTAAACTAAGTCACTGCACCCATATCATGGTGTGGGTGTCGTAAGAGGCGACAGAGGGAAACAAATCAGGGAGATAGGCAGTAGCGCCTTTCTTATAACAATTAAAAATAAAAAACTACGGTTTCTAACCCGCTTGCTAAGCATGACAACTATGGCAAATATCCCCCCCTCCTATGAATCAATCTATGGGAGAGGCTTATGTTTTGCAGTGGACTGTTAATAGGCTGTAATGGTAACATATATTCTTCTTCTTCCTTTATGGCGGTTACGATGAATTCGCCAATGACATGTTACATGTGAGAAGGTTTAATTGGGACACAAACTCTGCTTAAAAAAGGAAATTGATAATCCAAGAAATGGTAACAAACGAATATTATGTGAATGATTTTGGTCAACTTAACTGCTGAATCACCTAAAACAAAAGACAGACAATGTTGTTAGAACAATACAAATGTGTTATTATATGACAAACAAATTATAGTTTAATGTTGTTAGAGTTAATAAAATCACATAAAATATATACAAAAGAGGTATTTGTGAAGATTAGAAGGGAGTTAAAGTCTATGGGACGAGAGATGTCAGGGGGCAGATAATCGTAAAGAGATGATGACAATTTGGTGCAGTTAAAAAAAATATGATTAGTGTTTCCCTCATCTAAACCACATTCGCACAGAGAACTATCCCTAATCCTGAGTTTAGCTAGGTGAACATAGGTACAGGCATGTCCAATTCTCAACCGGCAGACAATAGAGGTGGCACGTTTATTTGCTTTATTAAATATGAAAAACCAAGGTCTTGATGGAATATTATCTTGTATAGCAGCATAGTGCTTGCCTTTTAGTATTTGTGATGCTTTCCATATCTCATTCCACGTATTAACAAGCTTTTTCCTAGCAAGTGACAGCAAGTCATGGGAATAAGTAACATTTAGTGGGGTGCCATTTCTAGTAGCCTCTTTGGCACACAAATCTGCTTTATCATTTTCACAAATACCACTATGACAAGGTATCCAGGCTAAACAGACAGAAATCCCTTTAAGATGACACCTATACAGAATGCTTTTTATATCAAGAATTAGGGGAAATTTATATTTACTTTGAAATTGGTTAGCCAAAATAGCAGATAAACAACTCTTAGAATCGCTAAAGATCACTGTCTTGTCTAGGCTATGTGATTCAATATATAGCAGAGCTTCATGGATTGCAATTGTCTCAGCAGTAAAAATGAAACATAATGAAGGGCACTTAAAGCTAAGGATTATTTTAAACCTGGGGATCCAGACAGCTGCACCAGTGCAGCCATCATCAGTATTTTTGGATGCATCTGTATACATGGTCATCCAATCTTTCCAGTTTTTCCCTATGGCTTCTTTTAATTTTAAATCTGCTTCAGGGGAACCTTTTCTAATATCTAGGTCAAGGTGAATGTTAGGTTGATATATAATAGCTTTGAAAGGAGTATTAAAGAGTGGACTTGTATTGCATGAGAAAATGGGCCCAGGAATTTGGAGAAATGAGACTAAGCTATTAAATAAATGTGGACAATCTTTATGGAGCCAGTACCTACTTGAAGATAAGAATTCTGAGAGGAGGTGTAACCTGGGAATTAGGGGATGAGAAGAGAGTTGACAGATCTTAAAGAAGAATCTGTCTGAAAGATATTGTCTTCTTATGTTGAGAGGAGGATCTACACACTCTACCTGAAGGGCATTAATTGGGGAAGATTTCATTGCACCAATTATAATGCGGAGACATTTATACTGTATTTTGTCTAAAGTTTTAAGTGACGATTTATTGCAAGGCTCTAAAAGAAAGCATCCATAATCTAAATGACTACGAATTATAATATTATATAGTAGCTTTTGTGAAAAAGGATGAGATCCCCACCACACTCCTGAAAGGGAACGAAGAATATTTATATTCTTCTCACACTTTTTAGAAATGTATTCAATGTGTTGTGTAAAGGATAATTTATTATCTAGTACCATACCTAAAAATTTTACCTTGTCCCGAATAGGAATAGGTAAGCCATTATATAAAACTGGAATATTAGGGACATTCTTATGGCGAGTAAAAATCACTATACTGCTTTTGGAAACAGAGAGGGATAGACCATGATCAGTTAACCAGCATTGTAAATATTCCATAGTAGAATTTAACCGGGAATTAGCTGTAGTCAGGTTATCTGTAGAAATGTATAGGGCTAAATCATCTGCATACTGTAGGACATTACAAAATGAATTGACTGCAAGATCTAAATCGAAAGTGTAGATAGTATAGAGAATAGGACTGAGGACTGAGCCTTGTGGAAGACCTTTCCAAATATGTCGGGGGGGGGGGGGGGGGGGGGAGTAGTGAGTTTTGAAAGTTTATTAAAATAGACCGAGAAGAGAAAAAGTTTGATATATAATTTACTATCTTCACTGGTATACTCAGCTTCAGCATTTTTTGCCTGAGTACAGGAAGAAGTACATTGTCGTATGCAGATGAAATATCGAGAAAGACTCCAACATGGTATTCATGTTTAGAAAAAGCAATACTGATGTCAGTTACTAATGTACTGCTCTTCGGTAAAACATCCTTACTCTCTAAGAACCATTCTAACCGATTTTTTATCAAATGTTCTAGTATCTTTGCCATTGTACACAACAGTGCAATGGGTCTGTAACTTGAAAAGTCTTCACTGGCTTTACCCGGTTTGAGAATAGGAAGTATTATTTGGTCTTCCATTCTTTGGGAGGAATTCCAGAGTCAAAAATGTGGTTCAGAATGTCAAGAAATACAGTTTTAGTTTTTTTACTGCTTTTAATAATGAATGAGTAAGGAATCCCATCTACTCCTGGAGAGGAGTCCTTAAGACCCTGAAGGACTGTAAATAATTCCTCGTAAGAAAAGGGGGCATCAAATTCATCTAGAGATTGTGTAGAAGGAGAATTAAAAACTAAACATTCAGCATGTGTGGGCACTGAAGGAGGAGCAAGATTAAGTGCAAATTCTTCAAGCCAAATTGAAGGGTCATTAGAAGACACATTCTGTTCAACTGTATTAGAACAGCGATATCTTTTAATGTTTTTCCAGACTAGAGAAGGAGGTGTGGAAGGAGATAAAGTAGAACAAAACCTATGCCAGCCGTTTTTTTTCTTCTGAGATAGCAATTTCACTGTCTCAGCTGCTATTTGTTTATAGGAAATGTAGTTTTCCATGGTCATTGATAAAGAGTATTTTTGTTCAGCCTCTTTCCTTTTTTTGCAAGCAGATGTGCAATCCTGGTCCCATCAAGGAGGTGAGGCCAAATTGCTTCTGTAGGGTTGTTTTAAAGGAATAGTCTTATTGGCAGAAGATAATAATGTATTTTTGAATTCCATATAGACTGAATGTACATTTTCATGATGCAAAGAAGGAATTGTTGATGTTGCTTGATCTAAAACAGAAGAATAATAATGCCAGTCTGCCTTTGATAAATTATATTTTAACCTCGGGTTGAATTCAGAATTTGCTCTTGTAGAGTCAGCAGATGTGATAAAAATTGGATAGTGATCACTACCATGTGAATTTGGTAATGTTTTCCATGATAGAAGGGAAACTAAGCCAGGAGAACAAAGAGTCAAGTCCACTACACTTCTTACATTCTGAGAAGGTGAAACACGGCGGGTAGGAGAACCATCATTAAGGATGCAAAGATTTAAGTCGTCTATCATATCTAGAAACGTAGATGATAGAGAATCGCAGTGATGTGAGCCCCATGAAGTATGGTGAATATTAAAATCTCCCATGATAACAACAGGGGGAGTTAGACAAGAAATAAGATTAAAAAGTTCATTTAAGATGGTAACATTAGGATCAGGGATGTATACAGACAGAAAAGATATGTTGAGAGCCTTGACTGCAACAGCATTAATCGAGGAGCTGTGGGAAGGAAGAGGTATAGAAGAATATGTAATTTTTTTTGAGATCAGAATAGAGGAACCAGCATGTCCATCGCTCCTATCATCCCGAAGACATGAATAACCTGAGATCCTAAATTGGGAGTCAGGTCTAAGCCACATCTCCTGAATGGCAAGAACAGATGGTCTAAATTTGTTTATAAGAAAGAAAAGTTCATTCTTTTTATCTTTGATGCTCCGACAATTCCATTGTAGAATTGTGAATGTTGCTAGTTATTGAAGTAAGCTGAGTAAGTTTATGACGTAAACTGAGGGGAAGTTCTGCGTCACTGAAACGGGAAATCATGTTAATTAACATTGATACCATAAGTTCGCAGAAGTTATCATTATTAGAGATGTTGTCATTCCCCAGTAAAGCACACCCATTTGGAAGGGAAGACGGAGGGTTCTCAACAATTGCCTGATGGGCTGGCTTATCATATCCAGAATTTGATGATTGTCTGTAAGTACGTTGAGGAATAAAGATTGTTTTTTTATATGATGTACATTGTGACGGCTGAGCCGAAGGAGCTGAAATACTGTCATTTATGGGATAAGGGGTCTGATGAGAAGAATTACGAGGCGGACTTCTTGTTGCGTCAGCAAAGGATCTTCGTACCAGAGGGAATCTAGTTGAAGCTTCTAAATATGATACATTTTCTTGTGACATAACTAGTTTAATAGATTTTTGCCTTAGATGTTCAGGGCAGGTAGGGTCTTTTGCTGTGTGGGGTCCTAAGTAGAATAGACAAGTAGGAGTTTGTCTAGTACATGATAAACTTTCATGATTCTGTGCACATATAAAGCAGCGAGGGGATGATCGGCACTGAGAAGTAACATGGCCAAATCTGCAACATTTATGACACTGAATGAGTGGCAGAACATATTTTTCTACTGGCATAGAGGTGTAAAAACAGTAAATATGTGGTGGAAGTTTTTGTCCAGAAAAAGTTAGAACTACTGTTTGAGTTGGAATCCATGAAACGTTATTGCTGTCATTCACTGATCGTCTATTGAGTCGGCGAGCTTTAATTATAGTACCATATCCAGAGGGAATTTCTATAGCTGCTATTAATTCTTGTAATGTCCACTCTATAGGAACTTGTCTGACTAGCCCCATACGAGTGATATTATATGAAGGGATAGTTGTTTCATATTTAGAAGTCTGAAGAGCTGGGTGATCAATAAAAGTGTTTGCATCCGCTGCTGTTTTAAACTCAACTGATATCCTGTTTCGTCCAACTTTTTTAACGCCATCACAAACTATATTTTTAATGTTATTATGATACAGAAAGTGACCAAATTTAATTGGTTTGAGAGTTACTCCGGACACTTGATCATTTGACGTTTTACTTACGTGAACTAGAAAAGGCGCGGTATCATCTTGAGAGTACTGTACTTTCTTATTAATAAAATCAGGATGGGTATATGAGGATTGTATTGAAGGAAACTGTTGTTTTGGATCAGTAATAACTATTTTTTGTGGATGGGCAGACTCATTGCTTATTTGGTCGCGTTTACGATTAATAGATTCTACATAATCAACGGGTAAAGTAAAGGAGTCATTGTGAACCCTTTCGGGATCGGGAGGTTCGTCCTCCATTATATTTCTATAACTAAAATTTACATAAAAACGGCACAATTAAAAACACTTACTAATCTACAGATGTTAAAACCACCACCAAGACAAAAAAATTTACTATAGTGACTCAACAGCACTTAATGTAACAATAAATTTAAGCGAAAAAAATTACGACACTTGTATCTCTCACTTAACCTCAAAGCAAAGAAACGTAACATATATTACATTACATATTATATAGACTCAAATTTTCAATTTCAACAAACGCATTGTTGTTAAGTCTCGCGGTGTCACAGTCGCCTTGATTTAAATTTAAAGTGACAGAGACAGTACGAGACTAAACTACATCTGATAGTTGAATAACATTTGAGTATTTGGCCATACAGTATATAACTAATATTAGGTAACACTGTATACTGTATTCTAACTTATTTTCTCGCAGGCTAAATCCAATCCAATTGATGCATATATTTGTTGTGTTAGTGTCGCTTTTTCGTTTCATCGAGTTTCTAAAGAAGTTTTAACTGCAAAAGTATGGTATGGTATGAGCGGTGGTGCGATATGCGAGTTCATGTGCTATACAGGGTTATTTTTCAAAGACTAGCCAAATTTAATAATCAAGTTCAAAATATAAATACTGATATACGCTTTTTGCAGTTTTTAAAAATACGCGTAAATAAGGATTCTACATTTATTTCAAAATATCCGAAATTGAATGTGATTTATGGGCAACAACAGCGCGCGCTCGTGTGTGTACAAGACATGCTTTTGCCTACTATTTACTTCCTTAATGACACGCTCAATACTATAATTCCAATTTTCCCTTTATACTTTAAACGGGCTTAGGTACGTCATAATAAATAAATTTTTTTTTTGTTACATTTTAACGGCGTGTGAAATGGATGCAAATAAAAATTCTACACTCCACGAATTAAATATATTTTTTTTACTCCCACACAAAAACAGTTTGAAATACAAGTTTAGACTACAGAGCGAGGGAAAGAGGTGGAGAATAAATGTCAATAATTAGTTGTAGAAAAGATAGCTGAGCTAGGAATCCGATGATAGGTTGGCGCGATTTAAATAACTCAGGCGGCGTGAGCGTAGCGTCCAGCATTGAGAGCGTTTAAAACCGGACTGGCTGGTTAATATGTAATGGCTCCAGTACACGTTGGCCGAGCGCGCTCGCCGAGTGCGCTCGGCCAACGTGTACTGGGCCGTTTTGTATATATTTGGCGTTTGCGGCCAACGCTCGCCGACGAGCCGTATAGTGTCGGTTTTCCGTGCACAAATCAAAGGAATTTGGCGCAAGCCGCAAACAGTGTTCACACGTTGGCCGAGTGTTCATTTCATAGTTACGCGTCGGAGTAGACTGTAGTGTCGGCTTAATAAAATTGTTTCAACATGGCGACATGGACTAATGAGGAAATATTTATTTATTTATTTAACAGTTTATGTACACACATAATTCGATTGGAAAATGGTAAAAACATAATTATGTACAAAGGCACTGCCTATTCCATGATGAAATTTCTTCCAGCAGGCCTATTGAAGGATAGTTGAAGGAAAAAGAGGTAGTCATATATAAATAAATATTATATATTATGAAAAAATATATAATTCAATATAATATATTTTTAATGTTACTTATATGCATAACAACACATTACGATTTAATAATTATGGAGTGAAATATTGATTCATTGTTCATTGATTGATCCTCACAATGAATCAGTTATATGGAACCCCAAACATGAGCAACATAAAAATAAAACCAGAGTAACTTGCCTAACTTCATTAAATATTACATGTTTAGTTGCGATTTCAGAGTACCTACCTAATGATAAATATTATTATAAATTATCTCTGCGTTTATGTTGCTCAGGGATAATGTAGCTTAGGGGCTTCTTTTGGGCTATCTTTTATTTTGAAAAAACCCCCAGCGAAGCGGGCACGGGTCAGCTAGTAGATCCTATAAAGGTTTCTTTTTTCCTTTTGAGGTCGGAACCCTAAAAAGGACAAACTGGGATTATTGTTGTATGTGTAGTTTTGTTTTCGTTCACTCTGAGAAGTGTGAAGCGCTGTGTAAGTATATGACAGTGGCCGCGATTGCCCTAACGTCCATCATCATCTAGCTACCAACGCAGAATGAAACACGCCAACGTGTGAACGGCACCACGAAAATCTACCGAGCGCACTCGCCAAGTGCGCTCGGCCAACGTGTACTGGAGCCATAAAATAATAAGCAGTGCGAATAGTGCAGAGTATTGTCGACCTCAGCCGGCTCGAACATCGCGTCGACGCGTATGCCGTTCGGCGTAGAACGACGTAATTAACATAATTTTACTACTTAAATATGCAATCACTCAAAATTAAACTAACCATTCACAAAAATGTTTTCGAGGTGGACCATCGTTATTACTGAATGACCACCTCGAGCACGTCTATGTGACGGAGTGGTGAATTGTCCAAAGTCTAACAGTCTTTGGTTAGCTGCAAAAATTGTTCTCCGATTGGTGGTACACGTGCGTTAATTCTTTGTCTTTGCAAATACGGTAAACACTGTAATATTGCACCGTTTCATAGTACCCGCGGTTCGAATATTTTTGTTAAGTCCTTGGTAACAAAGCGTACGTAATGAGGTCATGGTAAACACTGTCAGCTGTTGGCTTTGCTGAGCGAGTGAACGCAGGTACTAAGCCATGTAACGGTAAATAAAAAGAGCGGGAAAAATGCGCTACAAGGTACCCCTTACGAATGTGTGCGTGCATAAAATAGTAAACGTTACGTATTTTGAATTTAAGAGATAATAATGACAATATGTTTCAGATTTTTTTTAATTAATTTTTCTTCACCATTTGCCTATATTACTTATACTGAACCTTCTCTGCAAATTTGGCCGGTAATTGCAAAATAACCCTGTATATTGTGTGTGCGTGTACTTACGTCTGTGCCGTGGCCGCGGCGTGGTCCTGTGCGGCGAGGTCTAGCGCAGTATGGGCTCGGGCGTGGGCCCCCTCGCAGGGGTCGGGCAGCCCCGCGCAGCCCGGCAGGAACAGCCCGCCCGCCACCAGCGACAGCGCGCGCCTGCAACCACCACCACCGTCGCCACCGTTACCAAACTCACCACTTCCCGACACCACCCACCGCGCCAGAGGTGTAGTGCCGCAAGTGTACAACTTATACAGAGCCTCTTGTACGAACTTACAGTTATATATGTATATGGTCATTGTTTAGATATAGAATCTGACCAAAGGTCCATTTTTGGCCAAAGCCGAATCCGATTAATAACTTTTAGCACTACCAACTACACCAGAGGTATGACTTCTATATATACTACTCGTGTTTCGGCTTGTTTTATAATCTTTTTTTTTTTATATAGGATAAGGTGACAAACGAACACAGCCCACCTGATGCTAAGTGGTTGCTGTGACCCATATACATCTACATATATCCTCGTCACGTTGATAAAGTGCACACATAACTAATAACAGTTTTCTTAGCCATATTAAACAAAAACAGTGTTAGATTGTCGAAAACGTTTCGCAGTTTGCAAAACAAAGAACTAGACTTCTCGCCCGCTAAAAGTCGGTTAAAGGAGCTACGGAGAATTTACCGCCGTTTAGTACGGAATGTATTACGGCCACAGAGCCTATCCTGCTCAATATGAGATGTATACGACATTTTTACACGTCCATTACATGATTCCTTTTTCTTTACTTTTATTGTTCTAAACTGGATTCGAATATACGACCCAGACTCACTCTAATCACAACACCTGCGGTAAGTAAAAGCCAAGCATGGAGGCAAGTAATCTATGGAGGAGGCAATTGGAGGAGACAAAAGACTTCTTAATAGACTGTAATGAAACTCTCATTACAAATTATTACAATACATACAAATGTGAACTTTAATAACTTGAGAATTAACTCGGTTTTCGGATCACAAAAGTCCTAAAACTGTCTTAATTGCAATAGAAATAAAACTTTTTATAATGGGAATTAAGTTGAAAAATGCAAAGCAATAAAAAAATTCCTGCTCCGCGATCATGCTTTAGTAGGGGAGCCCCTTTTAGTTTATAATTTATTTTAATTTTTAAAAATCAATTTGAAGTATGTTCTACAGTATTCGCACCTGAAAGCCACATTGATGGGCAGCGCCTGCCTCGCTGGGTTGTTCATGATGCAGTGGTGAGCCAGCAGGTCTATCATCCAGGGTGTCAGCGGTTCTAGTCCCGTGTGCCGAGCGCACATGTCTCGAAGCAGACGGATTAGTACCTGGAAAAGATTGTGCATCATAAAATTTTATATTTAGTTTTTTTTTTTACTGGATAGTGGCAGTAGTAGCATATCGTCCCGTGGGTGTCGTAAGAGATGACAGAGGGAAATTAATCAGGAGATAGGCTGCAGCCAGAAATAATGTGGATGCATCAGTAGCCTAACGGCAGGGCGAGGACCGCGAACTCGAAAGGTCGTGTGTTCGAATCCGCCATTCGACTACTGTCGTGAACCACTTCTAACACAAGCATTTTAAGCTTACCAGAAGTAATTAAAGGGAATATTAGTAACATTTAATAGCATTACTAGTATTTAAAAAAAAAATATAAAAGTGTGGTTGTCAACACACTTGCCAATGTGGCAATTATAGCAAATATTCCCACCTATGTACAATGTATGGGGGAGGCCACCATTCAGCAGTAAACTTTGGTACCAATGCTGAACATCACCAACTATCAAAGGCCATAAAATGTTTCCATTTTTTTCCATAGTTACCTCTTACGACACTACAGAATGATATAATATGATAGATATGCCACCATCACATAAAAAAGATGTATCTCACCTTAATTGAAGAGTGATGCGCGTTCTCCTCGAACCATCTGCTGTGACGGATTGCTGCCAAGTGGCTACTGATCACTTTGTAGTCCAAATGCACCTGGAAATTATAAGTAAGCATTTTATAATATATTATTATTTAGGTATTTCTATAGTATTCTCTTTAGGGATGTGTTAATAAATTAAAAATAATAATAATATAATATACAGTGAAACCTGAATAACTAGGACACCTTAAGGGACCTGCAAATTTGTCTCACACCTGGATAACTGGGACACCTTAAGGGACCTGCAAATTTGTCACACTTAAAGAGATATTCCACTTACCCAGTGTCTTAGATATCCAGGTATAAATAAATATCTGTCTCATTTACAGAGGGTTCAATTATAGAGTTTAAAATAGAGGTTATTTAAGTTATAGATGTGCAATTATTAAATAAATAATTTTTACCAACTTTAATATAATAGACTTCCGCAAAGTAACGCCTGATTCTATTAACTAAACAAACTTGAAACAAGCAATTGAGACTTACATCTTATAGCCTGTATCCTGCTATACTTTTCTAGTTTCTCTTTTTGCAGTTAATACTCGTAAAATGCAAGGCAAGGATTGAACCCCGATTGCTCGTGTACTGTCAAATTTACTCCCTATGGATAGTGTAATGGCGCAGAGGTCAAATTTTTCGAGAGAAAAATGTTTAAAAGTTTTTTTTATCAAATTAGGGTGACAACTGAGCACGCAGTCCACCTGATGATAAGTGGATGCTGTGGCCCATAGACATCTACATTTATCCTCTATTAAAAATCAAAATGGAATGCCTTCTTTCCAGTAAAAAGATTCTCCGGTTCTCTACACTTACCAAACCAAACACAACAGCATTAAGCTGCTATTTATGCTGGTATTCTGAGAGAGCGTCGTCCTACCCCGGTCGAGCCACTCCAATGTGTGGTACAACCATAATATAGCTGCGGTGTGGCTCTACCATGTGAGATATTCATAAAATAAATCAGAGAATAGGAATGAATTTACACGACAATGTTTTGTAAATTATCTAATACCTTGGGCTCCAACTTCCTGAGGTTCTGGTGCAGCGTGGTCACCAGCACCCGCACTGCAGTTTGTGGCGCGGTCACGGTGAAGCCACGCTCGTTGCACGCCGAAGTTACTGTCCCGGTGCCCTCCGCCCGGGTTAACTTGTTTACCTCCTCATTCACCTGGTGATGAAGTTCTTTTTATAAAACGTTGCTCCCACACTAAGATTTCCTCCTGTATCGTGGAAGCAGTTTACACACATAAATTGCACTAAGACAAACATCCATCCAATCATATTTTTCCAGTGTGGGATCCTAAACCGCAGCCCTCGGCACCGGAACTCATTGCTAAGCCATTGCACCACGAAGCCGTCAAATCATCAGTGGACCAACAGTCATATTGTCAGTGATAAATTTAACGCAAAAATAAACCCGCGACATCATCCGCGTAAAACTTAACAAAAAAAAAAAAAACGGAAATCAATAATATTGAATATTGATTTGTATTTGACGGCTCCGTGGCGCAGTGGCTTAGCAATGAATTGCCGCGCTGGGGGCTGCGGGTTCGAATCCCGCACGGAACAAGTATTTGTATGGCCTACAAATAATTGTTCCGGGTCTGGATGTTTGTCCTTGTGCAATTTGTGTTTGTAAACTGCCTCCACGATACAGGAGAAAATCCTAGTGTGTGGGGGTAACGTTTTTTTTTTTTTTTTAAAAAATATTAAAAAAAAATATTTTTAAATATTGATCTTTCGGCAAGTAGCCCAATTATCAAAAAACGTCTCAAAAACTGAAAATGTTTACAAATAAAAGTACATTCCATGTCGACCCTGTCAGACAGTGCACTGCAACAATGCACGCGCATCGCCACAGCCTGCAAAATTATTTTAATTAAAATAAAAAGTAATTTACTGAATTGAGAAAATACCTGACAAGACAAGAAAACTATAATATGACATAATATATAAGAAAAGGTCACAATAATAAAGGTTGCATATTTTTTGTGTAAATTATTTAAAAAGATAATAATGATAGCTTTAGGCTTCGGTGCGTTTCGCTGGTGGCGCGACGACAGCGTCGCCACATCACCACACCACACCAATAATGTAGGAAAGTGGCTCACAACATAAATGCCATAAAGATGTTATGGCTTATGTTGTGCAAACATAAAATATTCTAATAGGCAAAGGGGACCAGCGACAAAGGTGTGAGACGTCTGATACTGCAATAGTTCATACATATGCTAAGTGTGACAAAAAGTATATTTTCCATAGAATAGGAGTGCTAATAAAGAAGAACTTTGGATGACTGAGGAGTGTACTGTAAGGTTACATTTCCTCTAATACCCCAGTATATGTACATATTTTACAACAAAATACATTGTTTTCTAATCCAGATGCCTTACTGTTATTACCTTGTTAGACAGTCCCTCAACAGCCTCTTTTGTGGGTAAAGTTTTCATAATAACAACAATATCTGCTACATTCTTTCCTGCCATCATTGTGCCTTTCTTGTACGAGCCAACTTGTCGAACTTCTTCTAATTGCTGAAATAATCAACATTTTGATTAAAAAAAATTAAGACAATGCCTGAGACTTACAAGACAAACAAACCCACAGTGCACCTGATGGTAAGTGGATGCTGTGGCCCATTGACATCTACATTTATCTTCAATTAAGAATCAAAATGCAGATGCATTGTCACCCCTGAAGACTGAGATGAAATGCCTCATTTTCAGTAAAAAGGTTCTCCGGTTCTCTACACTCACCACACGAAACAGCAGCAATGAGCTGCTGTGAGTGTGACCCATTCGTGCTACAACCGTAATTTAGCTGCAGCATGACTCAATCACGTAAGACACTATAATGAACTACCTCATTGTCATAAAAATAATTAAAGTTCATTTAATTACTTACACAAGCTGCAAAATCACCCGGAGCAACAACTAGATTATCTAGCACTGTCTGTAGCTTTGTGACCAGAGCCAACACGGCAGCTTGTTCTGATGGTGTAGGGCATAATTCAGCATGCCTTTTAAGAAGTGCCTGTAAGATAAAAAAAATTACAAGTCATATTTAATGATTATATGATATTATTGCCCACTTCAGAAGTTATTATGAATAATTATTTATTCTTTGTAATTCTCTGAAGATGGTTTTTACTTTCACTAAGTACTGTGACTATGTATGTAGTGGCGGTGTTAGAATATCCACTAGGCCATATAATCCCATATCGTAAGAGGGGACAGAAGAAAACAAAACAGGAGTTGGGCAGCACCATCTTCGGCTTAGCTTTCCATTGACGTCCGTCGTGTTTGGTGTTGATACGTATTTTTAACGAAAAGTTACACTATTATAAGCATATACACACACAAAGTTTTGAGAAAAAAATTATTGAAAATCAATTATTCTTGCAATGTTTATGTCTAATCCTACCTCAAAACTGGCGCCATTTTGAAATGTCATTGTCGTCGTCAGTAGGGATGCCGATTCTTTCCGAAAAAGGTCGATTTTTAAATCGATTCAAGTCGTAAGCTGATGTATCAACTCAAAAAAATCGATTTCTAAGATATCTATATTTTTTTCATGTTTGCATTTATCTAAGATATCTATATTTTTTTCATGTTTGCATTTATAATGTAAATATAATTGTTACGGCGTGCAGCTGCCTATCTAATAGTAGGATCCTCCCGGGCCCATGGTAGGAAGAACCTACAGGCAGATGCAGGTCGGGCCTTTAAGGCCAAAGTGGAAGGTCTCTAATTAAAATAAACAATAAGGGGGAAAGACCGGTAAGGTAAAGGCACTTACCTGCTTCTGGAGCGGAGACGGTTCACCAGGATCTGCCCGGCTGATGGAAGTGTAGTGAATGTATGTGTGCTTTGTATGAATCTGTGTGTAAGTGGCCTGGGCTAGATGACACAATACTGTCCTGGAGAAGGTATCCGCTGGTAGCCCCGGAACTATTCCCCTCTTGAGGCACTCTTTCCGTTTTGTCACGTAATGGTACAGCCAAACGTAGAACTTCAAAGGAAAATCACTGTCGGAGTTGCACAATTAATTTGACAGAAATTAATAAGTCCTAAAGAACAATGCGTGTCCTCGTAGACGCAACGATTTACGCGGGTTTATACTTTCGTAACAAAAATAGGCGCTAATCACTAAGACGTCAGTATAGATCGCAGAAAACTTTACAATGCTTCTCGAGAAATCCGGCCGATACCGCCGTGGAATGCGACCGGGTGGGGGGCGGGTGACCTTGCTATCGATGCTACGAACGCACGTTAAAAGATTCAAGTTTCAAATGTATAATATTTTTGCCTAAACAAACCCCCGCCCCGGACATGCTTATGTCCGCGAGTAGATTGGCAAACGGGACAAGGTCGCGACGGCACGTTGCAAGACCGAATCTCTGACCAAAACCTCGGCCACTCTAGGCACCCCATCCGCTCCATACGACAACTTAACAATGCGCCCACGGCGCCAATATAAAGGTAGAGCGTTGGGTTCTTTAACCAACACGAGGTCTCCCACCCGAGGAGGTTTCGTCTTGTCAGACCACTTAATGCGCTGCTGCAAAAGATGTAGGTACTCCAGAGACCATCGGTGCCAAAAGCTCTGAGTCATCTGTTGCAGCAGGGCAAACCTGCTCAGCCGCGAAGCGTTCGTTTCCCTGAAGGGGTACTCTGGCAGAGCGTTAAGCGGCTGGTCAATCAGGAAGTGTCCCGGGATTAGAACCTCCAAATCATTCGGGTCGGATGAGAGGGGACAGAGGGGCCGAGAGTTGAGTACAGCCTCAATTTTACAGAATACAGTGGCGAGCTCCTCAAATGTCAAAATAGTTTCACCAATAACGCGACGGAGATGCGTTTTTGCCACTTTAACCACCGCCTCGAAAATACCGCCCCAGTGGGGACACGCCGGAGGGTCGAATTTCCACTGGATGCTCCTTTTTGACATAGCATTGCCTAAATAAGTCCGGTGGCTAGACAGAAATTCGACGACCTCTTTTAGATACCTATCCGTGCCCTTATAATTCGTTCCGCAATCCGACCGGATCAAGTACGGCAAACCGCGCCGCGATACGAAACGGCCAAGCGTGGCCAAGCAGGCTTCCGTGCTGAGGGCGCTTACAAGTTCCAAGTGAACGGCTTTAGTGGAGAGGCACACGAAGACGCAAAGATAGGCCTTATGCGAACGCGCGTTACGAAGGTTAGAGGACTTGACGAGGAAGGGGCCAGCAAAGTCGGTTCCGACTCCAGCGAATGGTCGGATGGCCCTGACGCGGTCTGGCGGCAAGTCACCCATGAGAGGCTGCGATATGGTGGCCTTCAGTTTATAACAGGATATGCACTTAAAGATGACGCTCCGAATGGTGCGTCGGCCAGCCAAAATCCAAAACTCCCGCTGCAAAATAGCCGAAAGAGCGTTACACCCAGCGTGGGCATTCTTAACATGGTGGTGGGCTACCAGCAACCGGACAAGGGCGCCATCCTTAGGGAGCAGCAACGGGTGTCGAGCCCCGTACGGCAGTTGAGAATTTTTCAAACGTCCACCAACGCGCAGCATCCCAGCGTCGTCCAGAAAGAGGTTCAGGCGGGCCAGGGCGCCCTTGATAACGGAGCCACGCTTCAAGTTTTCAATGACGGGCTCAAAATGCTCCGTTTGGACCATACGGGTCCAATGCATCAAAGCTTCACGACGCTCGCTAGGGGACAAAACGCAATCAGAGAGTCGGTTGGACGGGTCTCTCGAATTGCGGACAAAGCAGCGCAACCAAGCAGTAACTCCTAAGAGCTTATCGAGAGAGCTGTACCGTTCCAGAAGAGAGAGATCCCGAGTGGGCTTATCCTTGCCCACTCCTACTCGGGCTCGTAGGCCCGGCAACTCGGTAGGTTCGGAGTAATTACGCAAATATACGACAGCAGCATAGCCCTTCTCAGAGGCGTCGCAAAACCCATGTAGGGTAGCCCTGCATTTCCGGGGGGGGGGGGGGGGGAGGAAGCACCTTGGCATGGAAACCCGGTTGATGTCCGGAAGGGAGGAGAGCATGGAGAGCCACTCTCGCAAGAGGACTCCGCTAATAGGCTCGTCCCAACCCAACCCGGACATCCAGAGCTTTTGAAGGAAGCACTTAGCCAAAAAGATGACCGGGGTGATCCATCCATTAGGGTCGAAGGTGCGGGCTACGGTAGACAGCACGGAGCGTTTGGTCCATGCTTTGGGCGGTGGGTCAAGTTTCACTCTATACGTGAAGGTGTCCTGAACAGGCTGATATTGAATGCCCAGCACAGTCAACAAATTAGGATTCTCAGGGTGCTCGAACAGATGAGGGTCTTGTTGAGCCTCTCCTGGGAGGTCCTTCAAAATATGAGGGGAGTTCGACAACCACTTGCGCAACTCATAGCCTCCGGACTTCAGGATGGCAATTAATTAGTCTCGCAAGACAAGAGCCTCCTCGACGGTGGAAGCGCCCGTACAAATGTCGTGCATGTAGACCGAAGTCTCCAAAATAGAAGCTCCCCGAGCGTATCTCAGGCGCTCTCTCTCAGCGAGTTCAAGGAGAGTTCGCATGGCGATATACGGGCTGGACCGGAGTCCGTATGTGGTGGTGTTCAACTCAAACACCTGTATAGGATCGCTGGACTTCTCACGCCACAATATCAGCTGATATCGACGGTCATCAAATTGGACCACTGATTGGCGAAACATCATCCGAATGTCCGCTACAAAAACCACTTGGTGTCGACGGAATTAGATCAAGATGTCGGATATGTCCTTGATCAGTTTAGGACCCGAGTGAAGACACTGGTTCAGAGACACACCAGGCGGAACCGTCAAAAACTACCCAGGGACTCAGGGGTCCTCAAGACCGCATGGTGAGGGAAGAAGTAGTGCTCCTGTGAACGCCATTCGAAGTTGGACGGTGACATGTGACCCAGCTCTTGATACTCGCGCATGAACTCGACATATTTGGCGCAAAAGGCTGGGTCGTGCCGCATGCGGCGCTCCATGGAAAGCAACCTCTTCTCGGCTAGTGCACGAGATTGGCCCAAAGAAGGACGTGAGTCCAGAAAGGGTAAACGAGTGACGAAACGACCGTCGACCCGACGGCCGGTATTGTTCTGGAAGAACAACTCGCACTCACGGTCCAGAGGATTGATTCGCGCCGCCTGTGGTGGTTCCTCAATTTCCCAGAACCGCTGGACGGCGTCCGAAAGGGACACGCCCACATAACCGGTCCAAAGAAGCTGTGCCCAAATATCGTGGAAACGGCTGACAGGCCATCGGGCTGTAGAGCTCGTATTTCACCTAACAAGATGACCCCCAGCGTGTCGGCCCCCAGTAACAAATCTATAGGCCCAGGTTGGGCCCACCGAGGGTCTGCCGGTCTCAAAGCCGACGCACAGCGAACCGCGCTGTCATTTATACGAACGTTAGGGAGAAACCCTACAATGTCATCGAGGACATTTACCTTGACTAAAATGCGAAGGTGTTCGCTGGCAGGGCTGAACACCAACTCCGCTTGTCCCCTAGGAGCAGGAGGCTCGGCACCTCCGATACCTACCATCGGACGTCATTCAGAGCTCCAGGGGAGCCCCAGTCTTCCCACCAACCAAGTGGAGGCCACACTACGTTGGGAACCCGAATCCAATAGAGCTCGAACCGTTAAGCGGTCGCCGCTCGGGTTGTACACCTTCACTGAGGCCGTCGGCAATAGAACAGTTTGACAGGTGGACTGCTGACGGCTCAAAGGCTCAGTGGAGGCGGCCATGGCGGGAGCTGGGGCGGCAGCCTCCTATCTGGAGCTGCCTCTGTCGGACCGGCACCCGAACCGGGGGCCCCGAGAGCGGCATTCCGACGGCGTCCCGATGACCCTGGACTGGAATTCCCCGAACGGGCCGACCTGGGGAAATTCGGGGATCCTCGGCTCCGAGGCCCGGGGCCGATACGCGGTCTCCGGCACCCGGTAATACCGGCAGCACCGACCAAAGGGGGGCGGGCGGCGTTCCAGTCGCGGCCACTCAGCCAACGGGGGTGAGAACGGTCTAGCTGACCACTGAGTGGCTGCGAATCCACTCTCAACCCGCTGAGGGGGGGTGAAAACCCCCCCGCCCCTGGGGGAACGACTCCCCGACCGGTCGGGGGAGGGACTCTCCTCAGAACGAGGGGCGCTGTGATCAACCGGCGAGCGCCGAGCGTCGCCCGACAGGGGGCGTGGCTGAGCGCCCCCGCCCGTGGGAGTCGGGGGGCTGGCAGGGCCCGGAGAGGACGCACCCAGGCACAACATGATGTGGTGGTTACCCTGGCAGTGCGTGCAGGGCCGCTGGTGCTGGCAGTCTCGTTGTAAATGCCTCTCCAGGCACGAGTAGCACCAGCGGCGCTCCCTGGCGATGGTTCGCCTCGCCGGAGCAGGCTTGCGCAACAACTTAGGGCACGACGCCGCCCGGTGGTCGGATGCTCGACAATAGGAGCAGTGAGGCGCCTCCCGGGCCGCTAGGCCACTATAGGAGGGTAGGGGGGGGGGGGGCGCACTCCCGCGGAGGCTCCGCTCGGCCTCAGGGGGGTGGGCGACGCCTTGGCCGTCTGATTCCGCCTCTCCCTGGGCACCGCTCGGGCGGCGGCCGGGGGGCCCTCGACGGCGCCTGCTGCGTTCTCTAACTGCCTACACTGCTCCTCCAGGAACCGCAGCAGGTCCCTAAAGGGGGGAATGTACGAGGCGTCATCCCCTCCGTACCTCTCCTCAAAATGGAGCCGAAGGTCGAGGGGCAGGCGGGACAGCACGATATGGAGTAACAAAAAAGACCACTCGTCCACCGATAAATCCAGCCGCCGCGACGAGTTGCACGCTACGACGACTGGATTCACTATGTCCTCACGTAGTCTGGTCCGGTCCCTCAGCACCGGGAGGTTCAGCAGCCTCCGAACATGCTCGTCAGCAATCCGCCGGACGTTGGCGTACCTTCCAGCGAGGAGGTCCCTGGCGTTTTGGTAGGCGTCGTCCGACAACTTAAGGTGGCCGACGACGCCCAGGGCCTCCCCCTCCAGTGATGCCAGGAGGTACCCCATTTTTTGGCAGGGGGTCAAGTCCCTCCGGGCGTCCACCAGACTGTCAAACATATCGACGAAGGTCAGCCATTCCGAGAGGACCCCGGAGAACCTTGGCAGGTCTAGCGTGGGGAGTCGTCCTAACAGCTCTGAAGCTCGGAAAGCAGCTCGGAAACCGCCCACTGAGTGGGCGGCTTCCGAGGGGACTCGAGCAGGCCACTCAGCCGAGCTTCGCGCTCCTTCTCCGCGTCCTTGGCCCCCGCCTCGATCAAGTCGTCCGTGAGCGCGAGGAACTGCTCGTAGTCCGCACGGCAGGAGTCCAGGACTCCCTTTTCCACCTCCGAGTCCTCGAGCTCAGCGTAAGCCTCCTCCACGGCAGCCCTTCGAGCATCGACCTGCTCGAGCTTCTTCCTCATATTATAAACCCTATCCGGTCGGCCTATCAACGCGTGTGCGCTGGTAGCCCAGCGCAGCTCAGTCCGCAAGCACCGAATTAGTAGCTTATGTGACGGCATCCCTACTAAATACAATTACTACGTTGCTCAAATTAGCAAATAACAAAAATAACAAATACAGTTCCTATCAATCAAGTTAAATAGAAATTACACAATTATTAAATTAAATACAAGTTAACACGGAAAAACACAAATCAAATTAGCAAGTAACAACCCTAGTACGATCAACAAATTATCCGATTACGTGACAACCTTATCTACCTAATCAAAGTACTTCGCCTCAACAAAATTCCCGCTTGTTAACCTACGGGCGTGGCGTTAGTAACTACCCACTAACAACAAAAAAAAGGCGAGCAACAAAGCAACAAAAGAAAAGAATTATTATTTATATTAATTACGAGGGGTGATCCAAAAGTAATGATAATGAAAATAAAACACGGTAATTAAAGTTAAATAATAATTTATTTTTCTACATAGTCTCCTAACAAATCAATACATTTAGTCCATCTTTTTTCTAAACCCAGGATTCCCTTTAAAAAAAATTCTTTGTCTTGACCCTCCCAAAACGCTTCAACAGCGGCCATTACTTCGCTATCGTCTTCGAATTTCTTGCCTCGGAGGCGTTCCTTGAGCCTAGGAAAGAGGTACAAATCACTACCTGCTAGATCTGGCGAATAGGGAGGGTGTTCGAGCAGATCGAATCCCGTTTCTTGAATGGCAGCCATCGCAACTGCGGCTTTGTGAGCCGGTGCGTTGTCTTGGTGAAACAGCACTCCAGCTCGCAGTTTGCCGCGTCTTTTTTCCTTAATGGCCTCCCGTAATCTTCTTATTTGGTCTGCGTAGTAAGAGCCCATAATAGTGGCTCCCTTTTCTAAATATTCCACCATAATTATGCCTTGAGCGTCCCAAAAAACAGATGCCATAACCTTTCCCGCCGAACTTGAAACTTTGAATTTCTTTGGCGTCAGTGAGGAGGCTCGCTTCCAAGTCATCGATTGTTGTTTCGTTTCAGGATCAAAATGGTGGATCCAGGTCTCGTCCATAGTCACAAAACGGAACAAAAAATTTTCTTGATCTGCTTGGAACTTTTCGAGATTGACCCTCGAAATGTCAACTCGAATTTTCTTTTGCTCGTCGGTTAACATTCTGGGTACCCAACGCGCAGAGACCTTTTTCATATGCAACTCGTTCGTAAGGATTCTTTGAACGCTGCCATATGAGATCCCTGTGACCTCAGCTACATGCCCGATGGTCACTCTTCGATCTGCCAACACAACATCTTCGACTTTTTTCACGTTGTCTTCAGTGAGGGACGTGGATGGGCGTCCTTCGCGATGTTCATCTTCAGTGGATGTTCTGCCCAGTTTAAACTCCTTGGCCCAGCGTGCAACTGTAGAATATGGAGGAGCAGAGTCCCCCAATGTTTCCACTAAGTCACTGTGTATGTCTTTTGAAGACATTTTTTTCAAACAGAGGTACTTGATGACAGCTCTAATTTCGTTTTTCTCCATGTTGATGTTATCTCTTTGACAGTTCGTATTCAAATGAATGTATCTCCCGGAAATCGTGATCTATTTATATGATTTTTTTAGGCTGATGTAGTGAGTATATAAGCAAGCAAAAAATATTGTTTTTGGATTTTTATGCGGACCTGAAGTAACCGATTATCATTACTTTTGGATCACCCCTCGTATATTATATTAATTTTACGTATTACGGCCGGGCGTGATTGTAGACACAATCAGCCACGCTACTGCTACCAAATGTTACGGCGTGCAGCTGCCTATCTAATAGTAGGATCCTCCCGGGCCCATGGTAGGAAGAACCTACAGGCAGATGCAGGTCGGGCCTTTAAGGCCAGAGTGGAAGGTCTCTAATTAAAATAAACAATAAGGGGGAAAGACCGGTAAGGTAAAGGCACTTACCTGCTTCTGGAGCGGAGACGGTTCACCAGGATCTGCCCGGCTGATGGAAGTGTAGTGAATGTATGTGTGCTTTGTATGAATCTGTGTGTAAGTGGCCTGGGCTAGATGACACAATACTGTCCTGGAGAAGGTATCCGCTGGTAGCCCCGGAACTATTCCCCTCTTGAGGCA